AAGCTAGAGATGAGTTGCACAGGATGTTGAATGAGGCACGTTGAGCATAAAGTTTCTTATGGCTTATGGTTCTAATAAAATCTAACATATTGTTTTATGTGCATTGACAGGATGAGTTGAGGAATGCTGTCCTGCTAGTATTTGCAAACAAGCAAGATCTTCCAAATGCAATGAATGCTGCTGAGATTACTGACAAGCTTGGCCTTCAATCTCTCCGCCAGCGCCACTGGTAAGATGAACCCCTTCACTCTCGCTGTCTCTGTTGGTCTATATTTGTGGATCTGCATTTAACCCCCCCCCTTTTTTTTTTGCAGGTACATCCAAAGCACGTGTGCCACTTCTGGTGAAGGTTTGTACGAGGTGAAGACACTCGTTTTTTTTCCATTTGATTATTATTTATATTATTATTATTATTATTATTAAAAAAATTATTATTTACATGCACAGGCCCAACTCTGGCCCAACAGTGACCAAACACGGTGGCCCAAATCAGAAGTCCAAGGAAAACCCTAAACCAGATTAAGGTTTTCATCATCTCAACAGTCAACCGCCTCAATGTCAACGGTTGGATCTGGCAAGATCCAACGGTCCAGAAGCCCAACAGCAGGAAACCTTAGGGTATCATCAGCCTAGGGCCACGTCGCCACTTCCCTTGATGCCAACATCCCGCCGCCTCAGGAAGCTGCTGCCACTGCTTCGCCAGAACGCTCCAGAAGATCCAGCTGCCCCTCCACGTTGAACCTCTATGGTGAGTCACCACCATAGTCCGGTGACTCACCAAAGAGCCCCTTTTTTTGGGCTGGTCCAAAGCCATCACCATGGTGGCTATAAAGCCACCAAACCTGCAAAATAGAAAAAAAAAAAAAGAACAAAAACAGAGGACGACAACCATCGAGAAACACCAACAGAAAGACAACAACCACAGTAGAAACAAAGAAAAACAAAAATGGAGCAATACAAAACAGAGACTAACGAGCAGCAAGCAACCCAAAAACCAAAGGAAAACGAAGGAAGAGAAACAACTTACCCTCTGAAAGTTCAAACATCGTCGGAAATCGCGTGAAAACCAAGGTAAAACGTAGTTTTTTTTCCCTAGATCTACTCCGATTAGGAGATTTATAGGAGAAACAAAGGCTAGGCTCGACTTTAGGGTGTTTAGGGCTTTATTATAGTGTATTTTGGGGTTTTTGGCCACCGTCAACGGTGGCCGGCGGTGGTGGTTTGCGACGGAATAAGGCGGCCGGCCGGTGATCGGTCTCTCCCGGCCAGAGATTTTTAGAGAGAAGGTAGAGCATTTTTTCATTCTCTCTCAGTTAGAGAGAGAATGAGAAGAGAAGAAATGAGGATAATGGCCCGAAGGGCCGGCCATTATGGGTTTATATACCCCTCTCAAACGATGTTGTTTTGGGTAGGGGGTATATTCGTAATTTACGCTTATAGGTAAACCCTTCCCGCAATACATGTACTTCTGTAAGTTTGCAATTTAGTCACTGAAAATGATTTTTGTTTTTTTAATTTGGTTTCGTAAATTTTATTTTATTTATTTTAATCCTAACCCGTATACTTATATATATTTAGGATAAATATCCATTTTAGTGCATCATAATTTTAATTAATTTTATTTTAATCCTGATTAATTAATTATTACAACATTAGCAATTAAAATTCTATGATATTTCGAGTTAAGGCCTTTAGATCTTATATTTTACATTTTAATCACCTATTAATAATTAAGGGTTAATTATATTATTAGTAATTATATTTTTATAATAATTCAAATTATGTTCATTGATTTTGATATTTTACATTTTAATTTTGTTATTTAACTACTATTTATTTGCATTTTATTATTATTATTATCCTTTATTTTTCAATATGTTTTAATTATTGCTTTAATTATTATTTTATTTTAGTCATATAGATATCTATATATATTTATATATGTTTTTAATATTAAGAAATGGGTTGTCTTAAAACACCTAGAAGTCTTTTTCTGATATTCTTAAATAAATAAATATCATATTTTTATAAATTATATATATTAATTTATGTTAATTATTTTTATAGAAATGTTTTATTAATATTTATTTATTTTTTTAATATCAAGAAATGGTTTGTCTTAAAGCACCTAGAAGTCATTTTCTGATATTTCTAAATAAATAAATATCTTATTAATATATGTTCTTAAAATTATATTAATAAATTTGAAATAAAAGGATTATGAATTAAATATATATTTTTAAATTTTTAAATTTTCAATAATAGAGACAATTTATAATTAATGAGTACCAATTTTGGGCATTGTGGGGTGTTAATCATTCTCCAAACGTAATCGACCACGAATTCCTTTTTATTATTAAAAAGAACAAATTTTTGTAAAAACGCGGACCAGTTTATCTTTTAACTGATGTTTTCTTAAAAAATCTTTTAAAAGATAATTTTTAGGTATTCGACCTACCTGACCCAAAAGGCCGATGGCAACTCTCGAAATATTTTAAAAACCATTTATTCACATCATTTTTCCCGCTAAGTAAAAGTAAGAAAATTTCGTACCCGGACAAAAACCGGTTACGACACGAGGGACTGGACTGGCTCTCAAACAACATCGCAAACAAGGTAAGCTACTTGCATTTAAACCTGAAGTTGCAGATTATATCCATTTGGGTTTCTTCAGTTTCTCCTACCTTCTATTTGTTGGGTCAAGCTCCCATCTATTACTATCCCATTCAAACTTAATCACCATTCATAAGCATGATCTACGCAATCAATAGGCGAGTCCTACACATATGTATGGTAATGATTAACGGACGGGAAAGTAATGGACAAAATAATAACGGACTATATCTCAACCCCAGTTTTAATGCTGATATTCATATACACAATCTGCAGGCATAGATGGCATAATTGAGTTGTCAGGCACAATCTGCTGTCCTGGATGTTTTATCCCGTTCAAGTGTTTTGTTTTTCCCATGTTCTTTTGTCTCTTGCAAACATTGCCATTTATTATACGTAGTCTAAAAATAATTGATAAATTCTGGGTTTTCTTGCTGGTATTATACAGATAGCTGAAAAAAATTCCCCAAGTTTGGAAAAGTTCTTTCCTTGTTGGTAATTGAAGGCTAGCCAGTTTCTTGAATGCCTCTTTTAGCTTGTTCAATAAACAGGAGAAATCTAAAGATATTAAACAAAACAGGAGAAATCAGATACACCTATAGCTCCGCACTTAATGAAAATGCTTAAAATGTCAGTTTCTTCAAATCTGCTGGGACAGTCTGTTCCAGATGCAACTTGAGAATTCCACGGGAAGAAGTAGCAATTGAGAATTTAGTATTATTCCCTTCATCAAACAATACTTGAGTGATACATATATCTTTATTTACTTATCATTTTCACACTTTCTAAAACAATTTTTTTATATAAGACATAATTTAGAGAATCAAATCACCTAGAAATTAATTCCAAGTATCAAATAGTTCCTTAGTCAAGTAAAAAAGACTTTTTTTTTTAAATATTAGAGTAAAAAAGAAATCAGCATAATAATTTTGGAGAGCATAGTAATAACCATTATTTAAAAAATAAGTTATATCCTATGATAAATCAAACATCGACTACTTGACAATAAGACGACTGATTACAATCAAAATGATCTCGGACAACTTTGATGTCGTCTCCGTCGATCGGAGAATTGGCGATCCGGCCACCCCTTCTATAATTATTATGACAATCAATCACAGCATTAGTTCCATCCCGAACATTGCTTATGCCCCCCCAATATGCATTCCTGGACGTAGAACTGAATGTCTCCAAGCTATTTATTGTAATCGGATTGACAAACCATCAGCCTTTTCTTTCCAAGAGGATCTTTAGTTTGTGAAAGCATGGCGCTGATTCGACTCACTGTGTCTTGGATTTGAATTATCGCGTTCGAAGTAGCGATGCGTGCAAGACCGTGCAAATTGGCTTTCTATGAGCGAGGATCGTTTTCAGAGATAGAAATGCAGAAATTAGCGTCTTGGGAGTCTTTACAGATGCTATCGATCAATGCTCTATTAGCAGAGCACACATTGGCTTTAAGGTTTTTACTAAAGACAAATTAATCTTAAAACGAAACATAAGTCATAATCTTGTTTCTAAGTTAATGACATTGGAAACATAAGTGACAATTAACTATTTATAGAAGTACTTTAAGACTGATGGCTTACGAGCTTGTTTTCCGACAACATCGTGACGGCAAACGACGCACATAACATGATAGAAGTCTTAATGAAAAACAGCACATGGTCTTATTAGGGTCTTCTTCGACGATAACAATGTAGACAACACAATCAAGGTTCGAATAACAAACTCCGAGCAACACCTATATCGGTTCCACAAACACTCAAATCAAGACGCCAGCAGTTTTGATATTTATTCAAATTAATCATCAGCATTTCAGACTTGAATTCAATTTGGTTCTTTCAATTAACTCCCAAATTTCAAAATTGAACAATTCCAAAGCTCGATTTACTTAAATAATTATTTAGGTCGAATTTCAGGATGTTAAAAAAATGAACGTAGGAAATGTAACTAGAAGGAACATGGACAAGATTGAGTTCAACTTAAAGTTTGTGGAATTAGGAAGAAGAAACTTATCTTCTTACAGCTTGCACGAGAGGATAACTACATAAAGTTGAAGCATTTAGTAAAGCTCTAAAGAGCTGTTTGTTTCGGGGAATGTGAGATTCTCATGTGAATAGAATCCACATTCTTCCGTTTGGCCGGTAATTTCATTCCTAGTAATGTAAGATTACTAACAGTGGATTTTTTTTAGGTATATTACCGAGAATGTCATTACCTCCTTTCTCTTAGGTATGTTTAAATTACCGGCGTTTTGGACTAAAATTAACTTTTTGTTTATCTTGATAGATATAAACTATTATATTAAAATTTATAAATATAATTTACTTAGATTCAACCAAATATTCACCTCTACAAACTTATTTTATATACTCATGTAAACATTGCTGCAAAATTAAGATTATAATTCCCCATTTCCACTGACACAATTAATTACAAGACTCTTTTGTGAAATGCACACTATCAACTTACCATCCAAATCTTGACCCCATACGTCAAGTTGGCACTCTAACTTTCATCAAACCCCCCCCCCCCCAAAAAAAACATCGTAATTAATAATTGGAAGAAAAAAACCCACACCTAGAAGCTTTTAACAATCCTTCAACCCCACTTCAAGAACAACCTTTCCCGATTCTGACGAGTATTTTTATCGTAGTTATAAAAGAGAGCTGGCCGTATTTACGCCGCCGATGGGGCGGCCACGAAGTGGACTGAACCGGCTTCTGAGAGAGCAGCCAGGAAGGGTTGCAGATTAACGGGCTCCGTCTCTCCTTCACCAGCGGTGGGTTCCTTGAAATCAAGTGAGTCGTCGTTGTAAATGTCCCACCATTTCTCCACAAGCATCTTGATGTCTTCTCTTTGCATGTTGTCTTCTTTCCCTGTATACCTCCAAGGCTTTGATCCCTGCTTATTCCAACAACACCATCAGCAATCAACACCAACACATAATCCAACATTAAACAACCCCACCCCCAAAGAAAAAAATACTACTCACCGCTGCACAATAGTGAACAACTTTAACTTTTTCAAGCTCCACATTCTCAGGATGACGCCATAACATGGCAAGAACAAGGTTGTAAATCAAAGGAATTGGCTTGTAAATGTCCTTAAAGAACATGTTCAAAAAGTCCTGCTCCGCGAATGGGGTTGGCGTGGTGATTTCGAGAGTCCTCAACAGATATTCATAGGTCGTAAGGCTGGGCTCGAACACGAACATTCCGGCATTGAAGTAAAGAGGAGGAGGATTACCCATCTCGGCAGGCCACTTCACCTTGTCGGGACACTGTTGGCAGTACCCGATCTTGTATTGTGGTGTGTGGCTCCATGTTTTCTCACAGAAACAGTCCATTACGGCGTAGAAATGCCCGTCGGCCAAATCGAACAAGTGGTCGATGTTGTCGTACACCTGAATGTCGCCGTCAAGGTATATCATCTTATTGTACTCTACAAACTGCAACCACAACATTAAAACATAAGTACATGTCGCATTCATGGGAGGCCGACACGTGAGACCAGGTTTGATGGTAGCAAACAAACGTACCTCCCAAATCCGAAGCTTGGAGTAATTGATGACGTAGTAAGCCATGGCGAACTGGGTCTGGTTCTCGGGCGGATGAACGGGTTCGATCTCTCGTACGATACAACCCTGGTGCTCCAGGATCCGCCTATGCTCCTCAGGCACGTCGGGTAAAACGGCTACCACTAAAGGGTAAGCCGCTTTCACCTTCCTTAACCCTTTAGCTAACCCTACGACTCCTTTCACGTAGTCACCATTTCCGGCCAAGAAAGTGACGTAAGCACGGTTGCGCAAGGTGATTGGTTTAGTGAAAACGTTGGTTTTATCTCCGAATGGAACCAATTCAGGAGCCATGAAAATGAAGCTTAATGGAAAGAGAAATCAAGGAGGAGATGGCTATAAATTAGGAGAACTGAAGAGAGCTCTTAAGGCAATGTTTCTTTTTTTCTTCTTTCTTTGTTGCCAGATGGGGATGGTGGCAGTTGTTTAAATAGAAAGCTCAGATATGAACCCGGACAGTAAATGCAAAATATATTTGGGAAAACTCCATGTTTAATATCATAACGATTACTTTTGTTTCGTTTTAATCACTTAACTATTTTTTTATTTTAAAATAATATCTAATTTTATATTTTTGTTTCATTTTGGTCACCCATCGTTAAAAAGTTAACGGTGACATAGATGGGTCGTCATAAGTTAATGTCATGTCATCATTGAAATTTACCAAGATAAATCCAAAACATAATGTTATGTATGATTTAAAAAAATAATAATTATGTGAGCAAAATGGAACAAAAGTGATTATTGGGGGTCTAAACATGTTTACCCAATATTTTATCATGGGTCCAGTGATGTGGAATGTGTGCCGTACGCGTGTCATTGAGATTATCCAACGGTGAGAGTATCGATTCCGGGAAACCTCCGGATGGTTGCCATATATCTAATTAATTGTTGCAAATTGCAAATTGCAAATTGCAAAGGAAGACGCTAGAAGGTCCTTGTATCTTTGGTTGATTTGTCAAAGCGGGAGAGCGTGGGTCACGGATTTAATGTCTTGACCACAAATTATAAAAGACAAGTGCAACCAACAACAATAATGATCTTATGTTACTTTGCTTAGTTATTGGGTTTAAGGTGAACATTATAAGGCATAATTGTGACAACGTACAATTTGGCCAGGAGAGGGAATTTAAATTTTAAACTTTGGATTACATCATAAATAGAGAGAAAAATTATAAAATACAATGTATTTTACACTACATAGACCAAAATGAAAAGAAAAAAATACATAGGCCAAAAAATAAAAGTTCTACAAATTTTATAGAAAGTTACACCTATCAAATCCTTACAAATAATAGAGTACAATACACAAATGATCCCCGATTATAGGGCATTGCTTTCTTGAATCTCTTGACTTTTAAAAGTTATAAAATGACCTTCCGATTATATGATGTTATTTTGTTGACTCCCTTGACGATTAAAAGTTACAAAATGATCATCTGACTATTTATATGTTTTAAACTCATCATTTTATCTTAAAAGATTAATGTCGTCTAAATTGTATGTTAAAATGTTGATACAATAAAATCATATTTTAATGATAACTATTAACACTGTCGTTGCTTTCAAGCACTAACACAACAACATAATTTTCTAGCACTAATTCTACAACAATAAAAATAGAGAGTACATCATAAAATACAGCTGAAACAATTTTCGAATTATTATCATATCATAGTCAACATATTAACGTTTAGCTTAGATGACCACCAAATTTTTAACGGAAATGGACAAATTTGGAACATATGAATAATTGGATGACCATTTTGTAACTTTTAATAGTCGGGAGACTCAACAAAACAACACCCTATAATCGATGGATCATTTTGTAACTTTTAATAATCAGTGACTCAACAAAGCAACATCCTACGGTTGGAGTACTATTTGTGTAATGTTACGATTTAATGTTGCTTTATCGATCAACCAAATAAGTTGCCAAGAGGGGGTGAATTGGCTAATTGAAAATTTTGGGTATGGAGAGAAAGGATATGAAAATTTGCACAAGTTTTTAGAGTGGTTCAACTTCCTCAAATGAAGTTTGCATCCACTACCTTAGTTCCACACTATGGCTTTCTAACAAATTCACTAATTTTTTTTTCTAGGCTTAAGAGTAACATTTAACAAATCCCTAGTTTTCAATGGTTAAACTAGAACCAAAACTCTTTTTTCAAAAAGGATAAAAGAAATGTAAACAAGAAAACTTATAAAAGATAGGGTTTAGGGTTTATAAATTATGCTCACAAAAACATTATGTACAAGAGAAAAGAAAAATAAAGAGTGAAAATCTTTTCTATCAATGCTTGGATAGGTGTTGTGTAACCTTCTTCAAGTGTCATCAACTTCTTTTTATTTGTTGCAATGTGTTTGTGAATGTTTCTAGCCACTAGAGATGTTTTGGAGCCGTTAGGGATTAATTTTATGCAAAAATAAATTGCTCAGAACATGAAGTATCGATACTCGGGATGAGAGTATAGGTACTGCCCTAATAACATTTAAACAAAACTAGTTGTTAAAGACCGTTGGGTTGAATGAGTATCGATACTATTTGTAACATCCTCCATACCGGGTTAGTGATTAAATTATGAGATTTAAAAATTCAGTGACCAAATTGGATAAATTGAAAAGTTTAAAGAATTAATTTAAATGTTTTGTGTATGATCAATTAACAAAGAAGGAGGAACTAAAGGGGTAAATGAGTCTTTTAATAAGGGAAATGATTAAATATTAATTGAGGATATTTTATATCCACGTGGAAGCTATTGGAGAGAATAAAAGTTTCCAGACTTCTCTTCTTCTTCATTCTTCTTCTCCATTGTGAAGCCAAGCAAAAGGTGAGTTTTCTTGTTAATCAAATTCTTGATGAATTTAAGGTTGCTTATTGATCATTGGATGATAACTAAGCTTAAGGAAAGCTTAGGTTATCTTAAAATCAAAAGATGATGGAGTTAGGAATGATTAAAGAAAGGAAGTAGAAAAGTGAAATCTTGGAATAAAGTTCATAATAAGAATTAGAAGTGGGATTTGACTTGTCATCAAGCTAATTAAGGAATAGGAAGTGTTAGAATTAAAATTAGAACATGTTGGAAATTGAGTGAGATTCTTAAATTCCATATGGAGGATTGAATTTCTAAGTTTTAGAAGTATTGAATGGATAATAATTAGTTTAAGTGTATGCAAGTTAGAGATCTAAAATGAGGTAAATTATGAAGTGTTGAGAGGATTATAAAGAGATTTTCGTGCTCAAAATAACATTTCTGGGCTATGTGCATCAATGCACATTCAATGTGTACCGATGCATCAAGGATAAATCCCATAAATTGTTCAAGGTGTATCGATGCACTAATTTAAAATAAAAACATCGAATGGCATCAGTGTATCGATGCACAAGTAGTGCATCGATGCACCCCCTTAAATACAAACATCGAATGGGATTTATATATCGATGCATAGATAGTGCATCGATACACCCGTCAAGGGATGCATCGATACATGGTGTAGTGCATCGATGCATACCTTCATTAAAAGATGAAAATGACTTTTCTTTTAGCCAAGAAATGATCGTTTAGAATATATTAATTAGTATACTGAAAAGTATCAATGAATTACTATGTAGATACAGAGACTAAACAAGTTCCAGAATAATTGCCTAGTATGATCGATTGAGGAAAAAGCAATGAAATATAGGTGAGTGCATATACATAACATGATTATAATGATATAATTAGTTCTAGACTTGTGAGAAGTCTATATTCAATACATTGATGCATGATTCATTTCATATTGTGAGTCACGATATGAATTCATACTATGTGCATTGGGTAGCATGTTTTAAATGAATATGTATGCAAAGTTATATGAGCAATGTGATGAAGGTAAGGAAATGATATGTCTATGTGATATATATTATGTAATTTGGGAAAAGCCCATGTTATGTAGATGAGAACTATAGGTATAGTTGGCATGCCAAGAGTAGAGGGTCTACGCGGTCCTTCGGGACATATATGTATTCTTTAGAACATGTGTGAGGTCTTTTGAGACACATACTTGATCCTTGGCATATGTATATGATTCTTAAGGAATTATATACGTGGTCCTTAGGGACAATCTTATGTGGCACTACGGTGTAATTCTACGCGGCACTTCGGTGCAATTCTAAGTGGCACTTCGATGCATTTATACGAGCTGTGGTGACAGTATAGTGCACAACCTCACAGTACTCATATACCTTAGGTTCTCAGTATGGTATCATGGGCCAATAATCTTATTAATACGAATTCATGAATGTTAATATATTATGCTTACATGTAAAGATCATGGTGATATAAACAACATGGTTAAGTATTTGATTTCATCTCATTCCATTTTATTATGGCATTTCCATTACATTTCTTTGTTGTCATTATTATTATATTGCCTTACTAAGTCGATGACTTAGCGTGTGAGTGTTTCACACGTATGATCCGAGAAAATAAACGAGACAGGTTAAGCAGCTGGATAACAGTACTCCTGTAACTATCATATCAGAGGCAACTTAATCAGTAGGTCCTTTTGTTATGTAAATTAATGTTGGCATGTAATCAAAGGGTCAAGTTGTGTATGCTCTGAGTATTTTGATAAATTTGTATTAACATATGTATATTATTATATGTTAATAATATAATTTCAAATGTTTTATCATTTTTTTAAGAGTATTGTTTTGTTTAGTCAATGTGACATCTTGGACTCATATCCGGGTCGAGTATGGGTTGAGGGTGTTACACTATTATTGCTTACTAGAATTTGAACACATTTGAAAACATAAGACAATATCGGTACTGCCATGAGAGTATCAGTACCTCTTTTATCTTTGGTATCGATACTACAAGAACATTATCGGTAATATTAATGTAATGCCCCGAATTACGAGTTAGAAGTGTAACACCCCAACCCGTACCTGACCCGGATACGAGTCCGAGATGTCACATTGACTTTTTAAAACAACATTCTTACAAAAAAATAAAACTTTTGGACTTATATTAAGAAAATACGATAATATACCATTGAATTATGTTTCATTATAACAAATTTAAGGAAATAAATGTTTTTATAAATAGTACTATATTGTATGAATAGTACTATACGGTATGAATAATATCGTGAATAGTAATGAACATTACTGTGAACAGTGCTACAGTGTACCGATGCACAAAAAATCCAATATAAATTGTGTATCGATGCACTGCTATAGTGTATCGATGCATTGCTACAGTGTACCAATGCACTGCTACAGTAACTTCCACTCAATTTATATAAAACTCATAAAAATTAAGCTTTCATCAGTATAAAGTTACCATTTACATATATATGTTTAAAACATTACAAAACTCAATCATATGATTTTACAAA